AGGCTCTCAAATTATCCCCCAAGCAAGTTTAGTGGCTCAGTATTTCAACCGTTTTAATTTCACTTTAAAATATTTTCCTGGAGGTAAGAACGTTTTCGCTGATGCCTTGTCTAGAATGCCCCAGTTCAAGAGCAACTGAGAGGAAGTAATTAACTCCATTATTCCTCCACTGCAATATGCTTCTCAAATAACAACCAGATCACACCCCCAAAGACCCCCTGATGTTCCTGATGATCTCTTGCTAAAGAAATTAAAGGAGAAGTTAGAGACTGATGTCTGGTTTAAAGATAACAAATTTATATTAATCTTAAGGGGAGGGCTCGCTTGGAAGGTTCCAAGTTATACCTCCCAGATGGCCTCAAGCTCCAGGCATTGCAACGGAGTCATGACACTAAGCAAGCAGGTCACTTTGGGTTTTTAAAGATATTGCATCTGGTGCAAAGGCAATTCTGGTGGCTAAAAATGAAGGACATTATGTTAAGAGTTGTGCCATTTGTGCTGCCATGAAGAGGCATCCTAGAAAACCCCCAGATTTGTTGCAGCAGGTGACAGATCCCTCTCAACCTTGGGAGGAGATAGCCATGGATTTTATAGTGGAATTACCTGAGAGCAAGGGGAACCCTGTAATATGGACTGTGATTGATCTATTTTCCAAACAGGCGCATTTCATCACTTGTTCAGGACTTCCCTCTGCCCAGAAGCTAACCAAACTATTTTTGAAGCACATATACTGACTCCATGATGCCCCAAATTGGATTATTTCTGACAGAAGGGTCCACTTTACTGCAAAATTTTAGAAGGAGTTCGTTAAAATGATTGGTTCCTCCCAGGGGCTATCATCAGTTTTTCATCTGAATACTAATGAAGCTGCTGAGAAAGCTAACGCAATGGTGGAACAGTACCTCAGATGCTATGTAAATTACCAGCAGTCCAATTGGGTTGACTCCTGCCTTTCACAGAGGTAGCCTACAACAATATGGTGCACTGGACTCACCCCATTTAAAATAGTAATGGTTGTGCCCATGACTGAGTATCCACAGGAGCCTCCTACTTCCCAGACTCTGGACCAATGGATGATATCCTTCCAGGAGGTTTGGGTGAATATGAAGAAGGCATTGACCAAAGCTACCAGAGTTTACAAACAGCAAGCTGACAAACTGCACTCCCCTCATAAACCTTTTCAGGTTGGACAATTAGTTTATCTTTCAAGGAAATATTTGAGATTGAAGTAACCTAGTAGAAAATTGGGGCCAAAATTCCTTGGTTCTTTTCCTATCACTAAAATCATTAACCCTGTCACAGTGGAACTGAAACTACCACAATTGTTGGGGAAAGTTCACCGTTTTTTATTGCAGTCTATTGAAACCTGTGTCAGAATCCTCTTTAACATCTATCCCAAAGAAGCCACCGGATCCAATGGTGATGGAGGGGGAGACACATTATGAAATAAAACTTATTCTTGATTCTAGGTTGTACAAGGGAACGTTACAATACTTTGTTCAGTGGAAAGGTTACCCCCTTTCAGAAGCCACATGGATGAAATGTACAAATGTGAAAGTGGATAGATTGATAAAGAAGTTTTATGATAAATACCCTCACAAGCCTCGAGGAAATGCTTAACCTGCTTTTTCTTTTCCCTGCAGGAGACTCTTTCTTTCTGATGGGGAGCCGACTGTCAACTTTGAAAATAAGCACGGCTGTGGCCATTTTCCCTATTCATTTTTGGTTGACACATTGAAAAGTGGGGGATTGCCAGGTGCTTTGCTAGTCAAAATAAACTTTGTCCCATGGGAAGCAAAGTCATCAGCTGCTCCCGAGACTGTTCCCATTGTTGCTTACATAGCTTTAGAGGTGGGATTTTTTAACTTTGTATTGGGGAATTGTTACGTGGGTCTTCAGACTTGGTTTCATTTTTGACGTGCTGATACTTTGTATCTAATAAACATGTTCTTTGCGGAATTTCCAAGTCTCGGAGTTCTGCTTTATTTGTCTCTGTCTGTCGGAACCATGACACAAAAGCTATTAGATATGCTAATATTCATTTAAGTTCTTGCACAGATCTTTTTGGATTATGACTGGTGCATATATGAGAAGGAGGGGAAAGGAGAGGAGAGGAGAAGAATGAATACTGTAAATATTCCAGTTACCTAAAACTTAGGAAAGTAAATGACTGCATTAAATGAACTGTATTATTACTTCTATAAAATAAAATAGCAGCAACAGGCCAACAACTTGGAAAATGAAACAAATTGCTTTAAATGCTTTTCAATTGAAGACGTGAAACCCTAGAGTAGTCAGCTCACAGTATCTACTCATTTTACTCCAATTAAACTTAATAGAAAAAGAAATCTAACCATTCTGAAGAAAAATTAGTGCAATTAAAAGATTTAAATAAAAGCTTTAATTTTGATGGACTGAATAATTCAATCATTTCAATGGATTTATTATGCTTAGTCACAAAACTTAAGTTTTAGAGTGAAAATTCCTGTTGTACAGTAACTTCAAATGTATGTTGGAAATGTAAATGCAAAGACTTTTTTACCATCTTTGGTAGACTTATGATAAATAAAAAATACTGGGGTAAAATTCATATTTTAGTGCATAAGATTCTTAAAGTGAATATAAAAATTAAATCAGAGACTTTTATTTTAGGCTTACTGGATAAAAAAGCTTTTAAAAATCTGGAACTTTGCTGTTATATATGGTGACAGAAGTAAGAATGGTTTATGCACAAAAATGGAAATATACTTAATTCTCACAATGGATGAATGCTAAAAAAAATGCTGGAAATAGCAGAGATGACTAAATTAACTGCTCTAATAAAAAAAATAAAGAATATATCCAAGTTTGTTTTTACTTGGAAATTGCTTCTGGATGTTTTGCTTAAGATAAAAAAAAATAAGACTTTGATTTTTGATTTTCCTGATTAGATAAGTTTGTTGTTTTAGAAATGGCTAGTAGTAAAAGTAAAAAGTTGAGGCTGTAATATTGTTAGTTTATTCTCCTGCACAAAAAACAATCAGAAGTCAATGCTGTTCTTTCTTTTTTTTCCTTTCACCCCACATTATTCCCTTTTCCCATATTCCCACTATTTTAATTTATACTTTGATGACTTTAATAAAATTATTATTTAAAAAAATAAGAGTATGTAGTAGAAAAATAAACTCCCTTTCTCTTTTCTTCCACCCTCCTGGAATTACTTTGTCAACAAGCCAGAAAATTAGGTAATTGGGAAATATTACATCCCAGTAATATCAGTTACCAGACATTGTGGTACCCAAAATTAGGACAGGGATTATTCAAAAACAGGCAGGCAAAAACTAAATTGAACATTCATGACTTGGTCATGAAATTAATCTAAAAATGTTCTGCCTTTACCTTTCAATGCACTACACTTTTCATACTTTCAACGTAATTGAAAGTATTACAAATTTCAAAATGAAATAACAGCAAATAATAAAAATAAAATAATAAATTGATGAAAGTCATCAAACTCCTCAGGATTAAACAGTGGTAAATAAACTCAGTTTTTGTCCACTGTTAGAAGTCAGTAGCTTTAATGGCCATTGTACATTTTTCTCCAAAGTATGAGAACTTTCTCCAGAGAATGTTCCATAGAACAGGGATCCCCAACCTTTTGGGCACCAGGGACCAGTTCCGTGGAGAGAGCTTTTTCCTTAGACCAGAGGGTGTGTGGTTTTGTGGGCTGCCTGCATCTTGCGGAAGGAGCTTTACTTGTTTGTGCAGACCGCTTGCTGGCATGCCACAGGCCAGTACTGGTCCATGGAGCAGGGGTTGGGGACCCCTGCCATAGAGCCTCTGCTGAAAAGATTCTCTTGTAGGTTCCATTCATTGAATCAGTGATAGCAGGGACATCCAGTGAAGAGCCTCAAGTAAAAGAGATGACCTGAGCCTCCAACAATAGAAAGTTTTAGCAGCATTTTTAATTATATTTTAAAAATTCAGGAATATTTAAAAACAAAATAAACAAAACATGTAACCACTGTTAATAAACTAGCAGCTGTATTGTGAAACAAGTGCAAATACTTCTGCTGGATTTATATGATGACGACAAAACAAGAAATTCTCCTTTAAATCAGATTTTAGACAAATAAGCTCATCATTCAGAAAAAATTAACTTAACAAGGCATGCTCAATTAGCAAACAAATAAGAAAATAATGAAAGATCTTTTAGCTTTATTTTTTGTAATCTACCAATTCTCAAACAACGGAGCTGTAAAAAACTTTTCCACAGAGGTATTTAATCTTTGTTCTTTAATTTTCTTTTAAAAACCCTACTTTTAATTGGTCACCTTATTCGGTTTAAGTCTTTCTTGGTTTATTCTTAATTATGCCCTTTGGTATCTCTTCTTCTATTTTAAATCATCATTCTGTTTTCTTACGGGGTAATATTTTTCACTCACTTGTTGCTTTTGTTTTCATTCAATAATGGAATTCAAAACTTTAAAATGTAGGTCTTTAGAGAAAGAGGAACCTTAGATTTTTAGGGACTAAAAGTTCCCATCAGGTCCCATCCAGCAGTTTGGCAAAAGCTACATTAGAGTCTGTTCTATTATGATTTCTGCTATGTTACTACTCTCATTTGGCCAATCACATTTCCCAAACCTCTTTTGCTCTGCAATAGTAGGGAAGATTGTATTTTGATTCACAGATTTGGGAAGAAGTGCAGCAATTGGTACAACGATAGCATTCTTGCTTTCAACATCATTAGGACAAATGTAGATCCCCCAAGTTAAAATCTAATTTATTTGTCCTCAACTGATCACAGTATTACTGATTTCTAGCTATACTCTACTCTACTCTACTCTACTCTACTCTACTCTATTCTACTCTAATATACTATACTAAAGTATGATTCACTTATACATTATCATTGTTTCAAAATCATACCACTATCAATCAAAACATTACAGTATGTTCTAACTCTTAAAGACAGAATATACATATATAAATATATAAGTAAGTAGTAGGTACTATACCAGTGGGAAGTAGACATTCCAATGGCGTACACACCTGTTCCATAGCACTTTATTAGGGGTGGGCTTTTAAAACTAAAATGAAATCAAAATAAATATTATAAGTTACAATTCATAAAACCTAGCTATTAATGCAACTAATTTAACTATATTTAAATCATGTCCAGAGCATAATAATTATATAAACGATTAGTTCAGAAGTAGCTACAAAATACTATACACATGAAGCTGATTTACAGAGAACTAGAGACTGTTATATACAGCACATAGCCAAAAGCCCATTCCAGATTGAGATTGTGAAGTATGTTTGACATCAACTGGATTGATAGATAGTGCAATTCACAATTCAACAGCTTTGTAAATCTTGTGTTCCAGAGAAGCAGAAAAAAATATAACACTCAATTGAATTTGAGTTCAATTTTTAAACTGGTAAATATCGATTGTAATAGAAGTTGCTGCCTGAAGTTAAAACTGAATAATGTATTTATTTTTATTTATTTAAAAATGTATAGATCCACCTTTCTCATCCTTTATGATTCTGAGTAGTGTGGAAAGAATAGATACAGTACAAGAAGCAAGAGCCTAACAGAATCAAATAACTGAGGCTGACAATAAGAATATGTGCATATCCAACAAAAATGAGGTGTGGGGGTGGGGGAGCAGCCAGATGGCATTCAGTTAACATGAAATTTTATGTGCTCACTGCCACTTGTCCCTTTTTTAAAGATTTGTTTTATTCCACCTTTATTATTTTTATACATAACACAAGACAGTGACATATCTAATCTTTCTCCTTTCAGTTATTTTCCCACAACAAGGTGAGTTGGGCTGAGAGAGAATAATTGGCCCAAAGCCTCCCAGTGTAAGGCAGAACTAGAACTCTCTTTTTTTAAAAAGATGTTATTGAGTTTTATAGGGTTAGGGATAAAATAGGGTTGGGATAGGGATTAAGGTTTAAGGTGAAGTTGGGATCAGGATTGGGATTAGGACAGGGTTGGAATCAGCATTGGGGTTATACCCCAATAACATTTTCAATATTTAGCAAGCAGACTATTGTCCGGATACCTATGTTCAACTAACAATAGTTGATATAATAATAGATAACTGTAGTAAATATAATAAACAATAATCATAAACAGTATCAATTAATCAATGCATATCATTCTTCTTACTAGTATGCAGGGCTTTTTTTCTCATAGAACACCCAGAACGGAGTTCCAGCACCTTTTTTGGATGGAACTTTGTAGGGTAGGCAAGGCGGGTTGTGTGATGTGTATGAGTTCCGGCACTTTTTTTTTTTTTTTTACAAAAAAAGCACTGCTAGTATGTATTCAAAATAACATATCACATTCATTTCTCATTAGTTTGTTTTGCTAACCATTGGTAAAAATCATCCCATGTTTTAAAGTAAACTGAATTTTCTTTCTCTTTAATCTCTAAAGTCAATCTAGCAATTTCTACACATTCTAATATTTTCTTAATTAAAACCTCTTCATTGGTAAGTTTTTATTTTTCCAATATTGGGAAAATACAATTCTCGCTGCTGTCAATACATGCAATATTAAATATTCATTCTCCTTCTCATGATTAGGTCTTAATATTCCTACCAAAAACAGTTCTGGTTTGAATTCTATCTGTTTTTTAATCATTTTTTCCAATCATATATGTATCTTAACCCAAAACATTTTTTGCTTTAGGGCATGTCCATCAGATATGATAGTAAGTACCTGGCCTTTGTTTATATTTCTAGCAATTATTTGAAGTATTTTTAAACATTTTCGCTAATCTTACTGGTGTCATATGCCATCTATAAAACATTTTATACAAATTTTCTTTACATGAGACTGCTTTAGTCAATTTAATATTTCTATCCCATAATTTTTGCCAGTCTTCCAAATCTATAGAATATGCAAAGTTTTTTGCCCATGCTATCATTGTTTCTTTTACTTGTTCTTCTTCCATCTTTAAATTTAGCAGAAATCTATAGAGTTTCTTAATCAAGTTTTCATGTTTTTAATAATATATGATAAAATTCTGTTGTCTTTACATTTTTACATCTTTTTCATGTCTCATTTGAATTTGCAAATATGGCCAACCATGCTAAATCGATACCTTGTTGTTGTAAACCTTGTCTATCTTTCAATTTTCTTTTGTTATCCAAGATATCTTTATACATCACAACTTTATCATAGTTAATTAAATTTGGGTAAGCAAAAGCCATTGTTGAAAGCCATTCAGGTAGCTTAATATAGATTTTCTCCTTTATTCTTTCCCATTCTAAAAGAAATGCATTCCTTATAAAATGGTTTTGAAAATATCTGTGTGTTTTATTCTTCCCATAGCATAGGAAGGCGTGCCAACCAATTTGTAGGTCATGACCCTCTAGGTCACAGGTCGGCAACCTGCGGCTCCGGAGCCGCATGCGGCTCTTTGAGCCTTCCCATGTGGCTCCCAGCCTCCTCTGCCTTTGCAGAGAGAGACAGAGAGAGGCAATTGCGCTTCCCTGCCTCTCTCTCTCTCTCTCTCTCTCTCTCTCTCTCTCTCTCTCTCTCTCTCTCTCTCTCTCTGTGTGTTTGTGTTTTTGTGTGTGTGTGTGTCTGTGTGTATGTGTAAAAGAGAGTGCACTCACAGTATTCTCCGAGGAGCTGAAAAGCTTACTGGGCGGAGCTCCTCCCTTTGCTGCATCTCTGCAGGAAGCAGGAAGCAGGAAGGGCAGGAGAGAGCTAGCTGGCCCAGCTAGGCTGACTCAGGAATTCTGGGAGTTGAAGTCCATGAGTCATAAAAGAGACGAGGTTGCTTGTTGGACAACAGCTTGAAGCTTGCCAGGTGAGCAACAGATAGGAGGGGGGGGAGAAAGAGAGAGAGAGAAAGAGAGAGAGAGGGAGGGAGAGAGAGAGAGGAAAGAGAGAGAGAGAAAGAAAGAGAGCGGGGGAAGAGGAGTGGCAGACCAAGGGCAGATAGAGAGGGAGGGAGAGAGAGACAGACAGAGAGAGAGAGAGAGAGAGACCCTTTTGACATCTAAAATGAAGATAACACTGCATATATTCTTTTTTTACCTGTGTGTGTATGTGTGTGTGTGTGTGTGTGTGTGTGTGTGTATACACATATACATATATATACACACACAGATACACACAGAAACACACACACACACCTATAATAAAGGTAAAAAAGGATATATGCAGTGTTATCTTCATTTTAGATATCAAAAGGGTTTTGCGGCTCCCAGTGTTTTGTTTTTGGTGGGAAATGGGTCCAAGTGGCTCTTTAAGTGTTTTGGGTTGCCTACCCCTGCTCTAGGTACAATAGTCTTTTATTTCTCAGTGTTATCCATTCTTTAAGCCATGGTAAAATAGCTGTTTGATAATATAGTCTCCAGTCCAGGAGTTCAAATCTTCCATTATCTTTAGCTTCTTGTAGCATTTTTATTTTAATTCATGCTTTTTTCCCTTGCCAAATAAATCTCAGTATTGTTGCATTTAAGTCATCAAAAAAGACCTTTCCCAATTTTACAGGAATTGTTTGAAATAAAGAGTATTTTTAGTATGATAATCATTTTCACTGTAGCTAACATTGAAAGTTGAAGATTTTTCTACTTTTTGAAGTCCGTTTTTATTTGTTTTAACGATCTTTCATAGTTACACATGTTGCTATCTTTTAATGTTACACATGTTGCTATTAAGTAGATTCCTAAGTACTTAACTTATTTGCAGATTTGTCTTTTTTTGTAAGTTGACTTTTCTGTTTATGTTAAGTTCTTTATTAATACTTTAGTCTTTTCTCTGTTTATTTTCAAGCCTGCCACTTCTCCAAACTGTTCTATTTTCTCCAACAATTTAGTAGCTGTTTCAAGTAGCTCCTCCAAAATAAAAACCAAGTCATCTCCAAAGGCTTGTAATTTATATTTTTGATCTTTTATCTCCAATCCTTTAATTTCTGTATCTTAGCTAATATTTCTAGTCAATACTTCCAATGTTAGTATAAATAACAATGGGGATAATAGACATTCCTGTCTTGTACCTTTTTTGATATCAACATTTTCTGTATAGTCTCCATTTAACATTATTCTCATAGTTTGTTTATGGTAAATTGTTTGAATTGTATTTATGAAATTTTTCCCAAAGTCCATTCCCACCAACTGCTGGAACATAAATTGCCAGTTAGGTTATCAAGGAATATTAATGCCATCTTTTTCCTGGGTGGTTTTCATAGTACTCTAAAACATCCAAAATCATTCTTAAGTTATTTTTTATCTGTCTTTTAGGTAGAAAGCCATTTTGGTCTGTGTGTATACATTCAGTCAAAAATTTCTTAATTCTTTCTGCCATTATCAAAGCAAAAAATTTATAATTCACATTTAATAGCGACATTGGTCTATAGTTTTTTATTTGTGTGAAGTCAGTACCTTCTTTAGGTATTAAAGTAATATTAGCTTCAGTCCATGACTTTGGTATTTTAGTCTCCAAAAGAATTTCATTACACAGTTCTTTCAAAGTTGGGCTTAATACATCTTGTAATGCTATGTGAAATTCTATGGGAAGTACATCTGGGCCCAGAGTCTTATCTTTTTTTGCCTTTTTATGGCTTCTATAATCTCCATCATTGATATTTTTCCATTTACTATATTTCAAATATTCTCCGGAATGTTTGGCAAATCTGCTTTTTAAAATTACAACTGTATTTTTTCTTTAGGAACTTCCTCTGCCTTATAAAGTATCTCATAGTAGTCTTTAATCATTTTTTCATTGCATCATTTTGGATCTGTAATTCTCCTTTTGAATCTTGTAGCTTATTTATCATTCTTTTTTTTCTTTTTTCAATCTATATGTTAACCATCTCCCCATTAGTATTTTCAAAGAAATTCTGTTTAATCCATTTAATCTGTGTGAGCCACTACTTCCTTCTCAGCCAGGCTTAATTTATGCTTTATTATCTCCATTTGTTTCTTAAGCACTTTCTTTTGTGGATCTGTTTGTAACTCTAGTTCCAATTTGTTAAGTTCTTCTCTCAGCTTTAACTGTAATCATTTCTTTTCTTTATTCTTTTTGGAAACATAAATTACAGCCAACCAGCTG